AGCAACAATTATTATTTTCCCTGTTGGATTTTAATATTGGTATTGTAACCATCTTCTCTTCATCTGTTAGTGGTGCTGATGCAGGTTCTCCCCCCATTTTACGAGTCTCTGCCTTCTAGCTGTTGGCTTCTGAATAGAAGTCAAATGTTTTTCCTTACCCTAATTAAGAAATGTATGTTGGATTAGAGAACATTTAGCCTAATTATGTGAAAAGAGCATTGTGGAAAAAGCCGCTGCACATTGAAATAGGCACTGAATGTTATTTATGGAATATGTCAAATGTTTGTAAAGTCACGTGACGTCTACACCCATTAACCTTTTACACTTGAAGCTTTACCTGATTTAAATGTGTTTTTGTTTTTTGCGCGTGGGATACCATGAAACTTAATAGTTGTTTAATAAATTACCTTTCTGCCAGTTTTCACCTCTGATAACATTGATTTAGAATTAAAGTTACGTATTCCGTAGTATGCGGAAGTGGCGGGAGCTGTTGCCATGGTGAATCGTAATTTCGGAGCTCCATTGATCATGGCTTTTCATAGTCATGGTGCACGCGCTAAACTCAGAGTCAACCTACTCATGTGGATTGAACTAACTCGGTTCAGCTGTTCTGAAACCTAAAACTCAAGAGTTTCCCATCTCAGGGTAAATCAACTCAGAGTTCAAGTTTTAACTCCGAGTTTGTTGAACCTCCTTTCTGGACACCCCAGTATAAAACACTTCAGCACTTAAAAAAAAAAAAAAAAGATTAAATCTTTTATTTGTTTACCTGGATGTCAGGGTGTTAACTGACAAAAAAACTGTGACTACGCAAATGTGCTGATAAATTAGTTTTTTTTTTTTCAATAGATTTGCAATATTTTTTCAAGACTTAGTAATTAGTGGAGGTCATTGGACATGTTGATGACACTGTTTCATAGCTATACATCATTTCAGTAACTTGCATAACAATTGATTTTATACTAATTGATGGAGTGATGTTGTCCCAAAATTCAGAAGCATTGACTATTTAATAAAAAAAAAAAAAAAAAAAAAAAAAAAAAAAAAAAAAAAAAAAAATTCACAAAAGTGCATTTGGGTACATTTTTGAAGCGGAACACACTACCAATTCACAAAACTAAAAGTAACTTTACTACACTACTGGAGTTGCTCTGGCATCCATGTGTGGATTACACTGATTTTGTGCATTATAATGGGTTTAAAAGACAAAAGCCTTCCAAAAAACACAGTTATGCATGGTTAAATGACTCATTGGCTACTAATCCAAATGTTTTATCAAGGGTTGATCAGATATTTTGAGAAATAATTCGTCGCAGTCAATAGAGATGCACAGGCAAAGTAATGTTTTGCCATGTGTCTCCTACAAAGTAAAACCATTTCTGTAAGTCTAGTGGTCACCTGTCAGTGGCTATAGAGTGTGGCTAGGAATTAATACATTTTTGTGCATGACATGCAATAACGTTGAGCATTTCAAAATGTAATATCTAATTACAGATAATCTTTTGGAACCCGATTACAAAATACGGATCTTTCTCAATTTTACACCCAATTGTTTGTTTTTGGCAGTGCTGTAGTAGGGATTTTGCATTTAAGTAAATAAA